CAACGATCACGACCAATACCACAATGATCACGACCAATACCACAACGATCACGACCAATACCACAACGATCACGACCAATACCACAACGATCACGACCAATACCACAATGATCACGACCAATACCACAATGATCACGACCAATACCACAATGATCACGACCAATACCACAATGATCACGACCAATACCACAACGATCACGACCAATACCACAATGATCACGACCAATACCACAACGATCACGACCAATACCACAATGATCACGACCAATACCACAACGATCACGACCAATACCACAATGATCACGACCAATACCACAATGATCACGACCAATACCACAATGATCACGACCAATACCACAACGATCACGACCAATACCACAACGATCACGACCAATACCACAACGATCACGACCAATACCACAATGATCACGACCAATACCACAATGATCACGACCAATACCACAATGATCACGACCAATACCACAATGATCACGACCAATACCACAATGATCACGACCAATACCACAATGATCACGACCAATACCACAACGATCACGACCAATACCACAATGATCACGACCAATACCACAATGATCACGACCAATACCACAATGATCACGACCAATACCACAATGATAATATAATGCAAATGTGGAGACCCCAAATAAAAAATACATCAGCAGTTAATGTGGGTATTTTGTACGTCGATGACAATACGTGGGTTTGAGTGTCCCATTTCTGGATACTGCGCCGCACGCACACATACACACAACACTCCCAGCCACACACACACACACACACACAAACACACCACTCCCAGCCACACACACAAACACACCACTCCCAGCCTCAAACACACCACTCCCAGCCACACACACACACACACACACAAACACACCACTCCTAGCCACACACACACACACACACACACACACACACAAACACACCACTCCCAGCCACACACACACACACACACACAAACACACCACACCCACACACACACACACCATTCCCAGCATCACATACACACACGCCACACCAAACCACACACACGCACGCACACACACACACACACACACACACACACACACACACACACACACACACACACACACACACACACACCACCCATCCAGCCACACCCAGTCACACATTCCAGAACCTAACGTTCACGACTCGGTTAATAAAGTAGACACAACACAGGCCATGATGGGAAATGCTTGCAAACGTTGTTAAAAACACGCTCCATTCTCATTGTAATAATTATTTGACTCAAATTAGCATACATAAGCTCATTCCCTGAGCGCTCATGCAAATTAGTTGTTTTGTTTAAGGGAGAGTGAGCGATGCTTGAAAGTTATCTGTTTGTTTTATGTTTGTTTTTCTGTTTGTTTTGTGAAACAACAGCTGCGTGGCGTCTCCCCCTTGAGCGCTGTCTGTAGCGCTCTTGTGAGTAACAGTGTCAAAAATTAATTTAAAAATCACCTGAGTTCATTTGTATAAGAAATTTGCATGTCAGCGTGTATAGTGATTAAAGACGTCACTCAAGTGACATGCTGTATGCAAATTGATCATCTTGCAAGTGCAACTGTGAAGTTGAGTTGACAACCACAGCAAGCAGTATGCAAAATAAACAAGAGGTGAGGCTATAGACTGATTGGAATACAAGAATATATGCCGCATGTTTAACTATTCTTATGATATTTGCAGAGGAGAAATTATTGATATACAATATGTTACATTCATATCAATGTAGAGTTATGTCCGTTTATTGAGAGATAATAGAAGTGTGTATAAAAATGTATAATCTATAGATTGGAATGTTTAATTTGCATAACATTTGTCAAGAACTTGAGTTGTGGGTAAGATGTTAGTATCATCTTGGGCAGTTATGAGTTATGAAGTAATTGTCAGAGTGATATGTGATTCTCTTGGCTTTGTTGACGGTTTCTCCAGACACAGCTAGTGTGAGTGTCATCTCCAGTCCTGTCGTTATGGAGCCCCCCACACACACACACATACACACACACACTAAACACACACACACTAAACACATACACATACACACTCCCCCACCCTAAACACACACACTCCCCCCACCCCAGAGACACAAACACACACACACACTCCCCCACCCCAAACACACACACACTCCCCCACCCCCAAACACACAAACACACACCCCAAACGACCCCCAGGACTCCATCACCTCCCGTTCGAGGGGTTGGAGTTTTCGAAAGAAATTCGTGGATTTTTCATTTTAGTGATGACAGCGTCAGTGGGATCGACAGGCAGTCAGCCAGAGACAGACACAGACAGACGGGAGGGGCAGACCTCTCCCTCTTCGTTCGTTACCTCTCCTATATTTCCCAGTTCTTCCTTCTCTCCTATTTCTCTCCCACTCTGTCCTAATACTATTTCTACTAATAATAATAACGATCGATTTATAGATTTGTTGAGTTATGATGTTCCTCTTCCATGTTATTAGGAGTGTGAGCCCTGGATGTGAGCCCTGGATGTGAGCCCTGGGTGTGAGCCCTGGATATGAGCCCTGGATATGAGCCCTGGGTGTGAGCCCTGGGTGTGAGCCCTGGATATGAGCCCTGGGTGTGAGCCCTGGATGTGAGCCCTGGATGTGAGCCCTGGGTGTGAGCCCTGGATATGAGCCCTGGATATGAGCCATGGATGTGAGCCTTTGATGTGAGCCCTGGATGTGAGCCCTGGGTGGGAGCCCTGGATATGAGCCCTGGGTGTGAGCCCTGGATGTGAGCCCTGGATGTGAGCCCTGGTGGGCATTCCTCAATGGTAAATCAAACCCCTGGTTTATAATCATCATAAATTCCATCTGTATAGCCAGCCCTCGTAACCCCCCCCCCTCCCTCCTTCCCACCTTCCATCACACACTACGCTCCACTATTTACAGCACCCCCCCTTCCCCCCCCCCCCGCCTCCCCCGTTAGTGGCATCTACTCTTCCTCTCTACTCAAACCTATTCCCAGTTGCTGTTTATGCACCTGATTGACACACTACCCACTACCACTATCACCACATCACCACCACAGCTACCACCACCACAGCTACCACCACCACAACTACCACCACCACACAACTACCACCACCACAACTACCATCACCACACATCACCACCACCACAACTACCACCACCACAACTACCATCACCATAACTACCACCACCACAACTACCACCACCACAACTACCACCACCACAACTACCACCACCACAACTACCACCACCACAACTACCATCACCATAACTACCACCACCACAACTACCACCACCACAACTACCACCACCACAACTACCACCACCACAACTACCACCACCACAACTACCACCACCACAACTACCATCACCATAACTACCACCACCACAACTACCACCACCACAACTACCACCACCACAACTACCACCACCACAACTACCATCACCATAACTACCACCACCACAACTACCACCACCACAACTACCACCACCACAACTACCACCACCACAACTACCACCACCACAACTACCACCACCACAACTACCACCACCACAACTACCACCACCACAACTACCACCACCACAACTACCACCACCACAACTACCACCACCACAACTACCACCACCACAACTACCACCACCACACAACTACCACCGCCACCACAACTACCACCACCACTACTACCACCACCACACAACTACCACCGCCACCACAACTACGACCACCACTACTACCACACTACTATTATGAACAAAGGTTACAAAGGCGGGGGTACCAACACAATATATCACACAGCTACTAACATCTATCAATCAAGGGGGGGGGAGGGGAGGGGGGGATACATAAAACAAGGACCCCTTCAGTACGGCAAGGGACCCCCCAACATAGCAAAAGACCCCCCAACATAGCAAGGGACCCTAACATAGCAAAGGACCCCCAACATAGCAAAGGACCCCCAACATAGCAAAGGACCCCCAACATAGCAAAGGACCCCCAACATAGCAAAGGACCCCCAACATAGCAAAGGACTCCCAACATAGCAAAGGACCCCCAACATAGCAAAGGACCCCCAACATAGCAAAAGACCCCCAACATAGCAAGGGACCCCAATATAGCAAAGGACCCCCAACATAGCAAAGGACCCCCAACATAGCAAAGGACCCCAATATAGCAAAGGACCCCCAACATAGCAAGGGACCCCAACATAGCAAGGGACCCCAACATAGCAAGGGACCCCAACATAGCAAGGGACCCCCAACATAGCAAGGGACCCCCAACATAGCAAGGGACCCCAACATAGCAAGGGACCCCAACATAGCAAGGTACCCCAACATACCAAGGGACCCCCAACATAGCGAAGGACCCCCAACATAGCAAGGGACCCCCAACATAGCAAGGGACCCCAACATAGCAAAGGACCCCCAACATAGCAAGGGACCCCCAACATAGCAAAGGACCCCCAACATAGCACGGGACCCCCAACATAGCACGGGACCCCCAACATAGCAAGGGACCCCCAACATAGCAAAGGACCCCCAACATAGCAAGGGACCCCAACATAGCAAGGGACCCCAACATAGCAAGGGACCCCCAACATAGCAAAGGACCCCCAACATAGCAAAAGACCCCCAACATAGCAAGGGACCCCAACATAGCAAAGGACCCCCAACATAGCAAAGGACCCCCAACATAGCAAAGGACCCCCAACATAGCATAGGACCCCCAACATAGCAAGGGACCCCAACATAGCAAGGGACCTCAACATAGCAAGGGACCCCAACATAGCTAGGGACTATCTATATATAAACATAAATGATCCCGCGCCTCTATAAACAGAACAGTAAACACTGAAGCACACAAACGCTTTAAAAAAAATAAACCATCACATTCACGCCGCACTCTCACCATCCCTCTCTCTCCCTCACCTTCCCCTCACCCTCCCCTCCCTTCCCTTCCCCTCCCTCCCTCACCTTCCCCCTCCCGTCAGCAAGAGTAATGTGTCAAGGGGCTTCACAGATCCCTGGTGAAATATGTGTAGGGCTGCGCCAGGCACTTCGCACACTGCCTGCAGATCCTCACACTCGATACCCCTCAGAGACGGCCAAGATTGTGGCCAGAGTGTTGACTGATGGGCCGGGTCTTACCACTGGCCCTGCTCCCTCATGCACCCACCTGCCACCCAACAGGTGGCCTCGCCACCCCTGGACCACTGTGGCCTCGCCAGCCCTGGACCATTGTGGCCCTCGCCAGCCCTGGACCACTGTGGCCTCGCCACCCCTGGACCACTGTGGCCTCGCCACCCCTGGACCACTGTGGCCTCGCCACCCCTGGACCACTGTGGCCTCGCCACCCCTGGACCACTGTGGCCTCGCCAGCCCTGGACCACTGTGGCCTCGCCACCCCTGGACCACTGTGGCCTCACCACCCCTGGACCACTGTGGCCTCGCCACCCCTGGACCACTGTGGCCTCGCCACCCCTGGACCACTGTGGCCTCGCCACCCCTGGACCACTGTGGCCTCGCCACCCCTGGACCACTGTGGCCTCACCACCCCTGGACCACTGTGGCCTCGCCACCCCTGGACCACTGTGGCCTCGCCAGCCCTGGACCACTGTGGCCTCGCCACCCCTGGACCACTGTGGCCTCACCACCCCTGGACCACTGTGGCCTCGCCACCCCTGGACCACTGTGGCCTCGCCACCCCTGGACCACTGTGGCCTCGCCACCCCTGGACCACTGTGGCCTCGCCACCCCTGGACCACTGTGGCCTCGCCACCCCTGGACCACTGTGGCCTCGCCAGCCCTGGACCACTGTGGCCTCGCCACCCCTGGACCACTGTGGCCTCACCACCCCTGGACCACTGTGGCCTCGCCACCCCTGGACCACTGTGGCCTCGCCACCCCTGGACCACTGTGGCCTCGCCACCCCTGGACCACTGTGGCCTCGCCACCCCTGGACCACTGTGGCCTCGCCACCCCTGGACCACTGTGGCCTCGCCAGCCCTGGACCACTGTGGCCTCGCCAGCCCTGGACAACTGTGGCCTCGCCACCCCTGGACCACTGTGGCCTCGCCACCCCTGGACCACTGTGGCCTCGCCACCCCTGGACCACTGTGGCCTCGCCACCCCTGGACCACTGTGGCCTCGCCAGCCCTGGACCACTGTGGCCTCGCCAGCCCTGGACAACTGTGGCCTCGCCACCCCTGGACCACTGTGGCCTCGCCACCCCTGGACCACTGTGGCCCTCGCCACCCCTGGACCACTGTGGCCCCCTCCCCACGAAAAAGTTGCAATAGTGAGGTCGTGAAACTTGATGTGTGAGTGTCCGTAGCCTCAGAAAATATGGGTTTGAAGTACATACGAAAATCATTTAGAGCTGGAAGAGTGACTCGGAAGAGAGGCAATGAGAGATGTAGAGAGAGAGAGAGGAACACAGAGAAAGAGGAATACAGAGACAGGAAGATGTTTAAGTACTCATCTATAACTGCTGGTTAGACCTTGAGTGCGTCGTGACGAAGGCTGCGTCATTGGAGGTGACGTTACAGTTTGCGTCATCACAGCTGTACCCGTCCCCCCCCCTAATGCGTCATCCTCGATCTGTTAGATTTTTTTTATATATTTTTTTTTAATTCAGCATACACCTCATAACCTGTGTTCGTGTGCACAATCCCCACACCAACTATAACAGGATGCTGAAACCATTCAACTAGTTAAATAGGTCTACAAGAGCAGGCTTCCAAGTGAGCTAATACAGGATTACAGTGCTGTAATAGCCATACAAGACGATCCTGAACCCATGCTACTGTACCCCCTCGCCTTAGCTTAACAAAAGTAGAGTAGCACGCGTGCATAAGGACACACGAGAAGAACGTAGCCCCTATTAACCACTTGTACAAGTATCTCACTATGTTCCCCCAGCAGCTGAGCTCAGCTGGAAAGTCATAGAACGACTGAAGTGTCCAACAGCTTCCCTCTCAGGGTTGGACCACCTTTAACACAATTTGTTTAGGTCCGGGAACCCATTTATATTAACTTTTAAAAAGAGATGTGAATATTGTTTAAGCTACCAGGCACTTTATGACTCAAATCGAATTATTATTATTATATTTTTTTCTTAACGAACTTAAGGTCATTAGCAGGCTTATCTGGATCTTAATTTGTCCTCTCTTTTGTTTTCCCTCTCTCTTATCTCTCCCTCTATTCCTTTCCCTTCTTCCCCTCTTCCTCACGTGTACAATTCTTCTCTTTCCATTTCTATCATTCCCTCTCTCTCTCTCTCTCTCTCTCTCTCTCTCTCTCTCTCTCTCTCTCTCTCTCTCTCTCTCTCTCTCTCTCTCTCCCACAAGCACCCAACTCCGCTTTTTTCCCCACTCTGTTATCACCCTTCTGTCCTGAAGCTCCCCTTCTTTCACCTAATGTTTTCACCCTCTTCCCCCTTGTCTATTCCACCCATCCCTCCCCTCCTCTCTCTCTCTCTCTCTGATATACCTATTAAATTCTTCCGTTCCTGTTCCCTTTCATTCTCTACTGTGTCGTCACCATGTCGCTCCTTCTCCCTCACTGTGTCTGACCTCCTTCCTCTTCACTCTCTTTTTCATCCTTTCCATTCCCCCTCTTCATTTATCTGTCCCTTTGTCCCTTTCTAATAATAACATTTTCATCAAACTCCTCGCCTGTCTCTTTACTCATTTCCTCCCATTCATTGTACCTCATCATTCTTTCATTCACGTGCACCTCCTCCTCTTTCTTTCATATCTCCTTTCCCCTCTTCCCTCACTTGCCTCCTCCATTCCTCAGCCCCTCTGGCAGAGTGTCAGTCGTCTCCCCTCGTGCCGGTCTTGGTGGCCCACGGAACAGGTTTGGCCTCATATTTTGGCTGGTAAGATGCGGCGAGCCATCGGATCATGGGATCCTGCTCGCCCCCCTCTGATGGATGGCTGGCCGGCGAGGGGAGGCGAGGGGAGGCGAGGGGAAGGGAGGAAAAGGTAGGCGAGAGGAAGGGGGAGGGTTGGTGAGGGGGAGGGAAATCAGAGGGAATGTAAGGAGTAGGTTGGGAAGGGGGTGAGAGGGGAGGGACTATAGCAGGTGATGGGGTGAAATGGGAGAGGTGGGGAAGGAAGGACGAGATGGGTGGGAGAGGGTAAGGGCAGTAGAGGGAAGGGAAGGGGCAACTGAGGGGCAAGGAGGGAGGGAAGGAAAACACAAGGGTAGGCAGGGGCAGGAGACCAACAATATATCAGGGGCATCATCACCCAACAGCACCGTGACAAAGTAACTGGGACACGAAGGACAGACGCACCAATCCGTTAATCTGTACCCTACCCATCCCTGTACCCTATACCCATCCCTGTACCCTATACCCATCCCTGTACCCTACCCTCTCCTGTACCCTACCCTCTCCTGTACCCAACCCATCCCTGTACCCTATACCCATCCCTGTACCCTACCCTCTCCTGTACCCTACCCTCTCCTGTACCCAACCCATCCCTGTACCCTAATATGGCGGTGTGTTCACTCACAGGATGAGTGACGCCGCCCAACAATCTCCGTTCTGCGCAAAATTATAAAAATTAAAATATAATGCATTAAAGGGAGGGGGGAGAGAGAACGGGAAGGTAGCAAGAGGGAAGTGGGAAAGCCGTCAAGACTGGAAAGGAAGGTAGTACACAGGGGGGCAAAGGGAAGCCTGAGAGTAAGGGAAGGTGGGGGAAGGGGGGGGGGGAAAGAAAAAGGGGAGCTGAAGACTTTTGCCCCAAAATATTCTTCACCAGATCAACAAAAGCACCACAACAGCTGTGAAAGCCACGCTGCCGCCACGCTATTGTCAACAACTAACAAATATTCAAATTTTTTCCCCCAAACATTAGTGTTTTTTTTTAGGGGGGGGGAGGGGGGTTGTTCGTCCGCTTTAGCCTATCTTGCTAACAATGCTTTTCGGTTGGAGCTGTTGGCAAAAACTCTCCTCACACAATTACTCCAACACAGAAAAATATACTCCGCATTGTTCCATTTACAATGACCATCTCAGATAAATTTTCTTTCTCGCTGCAAAATTTGATATATATATATATTTTTGTTATATGTGTGTGTGTGTGTACTCACCTATTTGTGCCGGCAGGATCGAGCATTGACTCTTGGCTCAAACAAGAGTGTGTGTGTGTGTGTGTGTGTGTGTGTGTGTGTGTGTATTCACCTAGTTGTGCTTGCGAGGGTTGAGCTTTGCTCTTTAGCCCCATCTCTCAACTGTCAATCAATCAACTGTTACTAACTACTATTTCTTTTCACACACACACACACACACACACACACACACACACACACACACACACACACACACACACACACACACAGGAAGTAGCCCGCAACAGCTATCTAAATCTCAGGTACCTATTTACTGCTAGGCAACAGAAGCATCAGGGTGAAAGAAACTCTGCCCATTTGTCTCTTCAGGCGCCGGGAATCGAACCCTGGCCACAGGATTACGAGTCCCGCGCGCTGTCCACTCAGGTACCAGCGCCGCCCCCACACACACCAGTGTGTGTGTGTGTGTGTGTGTGTGTGTGTGTGTGTGTGTGTGTGTGTGTGTGTGTGTGTGTGTTTGTATGCTAGTAAGGGAAACGCAGATATTAACTCTTATTGCTGGTAAGCATAAGGTTCATTCTCCTCTGTAGAGCCAGAGTGAGAGAGAGAGAGAGAGAGAGACAGACAGACAGACAGAGAGAGCTTTCCGCGTCACTGAGATCAATGGGGAAGCGCTATTGGCGGAGGGAATGAGTGCTGCGCTATTTTGATTGGTCAGAGGCGAAGTCCATTACAGAAAATGATATGAATTAGATACAAGACGCTAATTATGACTCGTGCCTCGTGTTACCGCTGTACGCGTAACACAGTGTTATTTCTGTCTGGTACAGGTGTGTGGCTCTCTGACGGGTCTGGTACAGGTGTGTGGCTCTCTGACGGGTCTGGTACAGGTGTGTGGCTCTCTGACGGGTCTGGTACAGGTGTGTGGCTCTCTGACGGGTCTGGTACAGGTGTGTGGCTCTCTGACGGGTCTGGTACAGGTGTGTGGCTCTCTGACGGGTCTGGTACAGGTGTGTGGCTCTCTGACGGGTCTGGTACAGGTGTGTGTCTCACTGACGGGTCTGGTACAGGTGTGTGGCTCTCTGACGGGTCTGGTACAGGTGTGTGTCTCACTGACGGGTCTGGTACAGGTGTGTGGCTCTCTGACGGGTCTGGTACAGGTATGGCTCTCTGATGGGTCTGGTACAGGTGTGTGGCTCTCTGACGGGTCTGGTACAGGTGTGGCTCTCTGACGGCATGGCAGGATGTGCAGAATATCCCCGTTGAAGAGCAGAGGTGCAACAGGTACTCTGAGAGAGAACTATCAACATCAGAGGCCGAGACTGTTCAATACACTTCCACTACACATAAGGGACATAACTGGCCGACCCCTCACAATGTTCAAGAGAGAACTGGATAAAACACCTCCAAAGGATACCTGATTAACCAGGCTGTGATTCATACGTAAGGTTGCGAACAGCCGCGTCCAATAGTCTGGTTGAACAAACCAACTAGAAGGACTGTTCAGAGACCGGGCCGCGGGAATGTTGATCCTCGGAACCGTCATCAGGTAAGATTCCTTGCTGCGACTGAGGCATTCATTTAATTATGTACTGTGCTTTTTATATATATTTTTCTAATTATAATTGTACAACAATTTATGAAGTTTGATTTAATTTGACAAATCTTAAAGAAAACATGCAAATACTACAAGCAGTGCAAAATAAGGCGTTAAGAAGAGCAGCCAAACACCGTCCACCATATGATCAGCCACTCCAGGAGCTCCAGGAACTCCTGAACACACAGTCACTAAACACCAGACAGCAGCACCAAGCCATCAGGGTGTGCAACACCATCCTAATGTTGGAGGACCCAATGTTAGACACATTACCCCAAGATGAGCCATCTTCCAAGATGAGAGAACTCCTACAGCTGGTGGCCTCGTGTCTCTCTATCTACTCGAGGAAACCAAGTCCCACAATACATAATTCCAAGATGAAACTTAGACCAGAACGCACCCCCCCTTCCCTAAAAATAATCCCTTCCCCCCCTACCCGCAATCCATATCCCCCCACAACTTCCCCAAATTATTTCCCCTCCTAATCACTCCCCCCCCCTCCACCCCCCCCCCCCCGGTAGCACCACGACAAACTTTCTGACCTCAACACAACTTTTATAATATAAACGAGAAAACTTCCTCGATCTTGTCTCGTACGAGACTTGCTTATCAGTTTCCATTGTTATGTT